TCCAACTCAGCCATGGCTAATCCCGCCACCGACTCATCCTCTGTCTCAACCGGTTTGGACACTCCACCAGATCCAGAGATACACCGAGGACCACTAACACTCTCCAAACTTTGCAAACTTCCAACAAGAGAGAATTTTCCAGTCTTAGTCTTCAAAACCCAACAGCTCTTTGTAACTGTACCCGGAACACACCCCGTGCTCCCACTGTCACAGAATCCCCTGAATGGTTTAGAATTTCCGACTCGTTCAGCTAACATCCCCTTGGCTCCAGAATTCATGTTTGCAAAATGAACTCTCTTAGCAGTAGATTTAGCGAACCAGATTTTGTTTTGCTTAATCGGGATGGTCATACTTCCCTCAGCAGGTACCTCAACCATATACAATGACCCACGCTTCATACCTTGAGCAATCACCGAATTACCATTGACCACCATCCATTTACCACCACCAAACCTTACTTCCAGTCCTTGTTTATCCAGCTGACCAACAGAAATCAATTTTTTCTTCAGCTCCGGAATAACCCTGACATTCTTCAGGCTCCATGTAGTTCCTAATGAAGTAACTAGATCAATATCTCCCATGCCCGTTACTTGAAGCATCTCGTCATTTGCTAACCGTACCTTTCCAAAATCTCCTTTTTTTAGATTCACCATCGTTTCCCGTTGTCCATGGCGTGAAACGAAGCCCCTGAATCCATGACCCAAGAGTCTACAGATTTTTCCATACTGAGTATCAATGCATCATCCTCAGACACACTCTCAGCACCAGCAATGTTTAATTCTTTCTTTGGACATTGACTCTTAACATGTCCCACCTCTTGGCAGTTCCAGCACTTCACATTCTTCCTAGTTCTAGATGAACTTCTTCCCCCGACTCCCACTGCTTCCACTATTCCTGCTATTCCCTCTCCCTCTTCCGATATTTAATAACTCAGAAGAAGAAGATCCACCTTGATTCTTGCGTCTGATATCTTCGCCAAGAACCAAATCTCTAACCCCTTCAAAAGTCATACCACTGGTCCCCACGGAACTCGTAACAGCAGTAACTGTTCCGGACCAGCTATCAGGTAGAGAAGCTAGTAGCAGTGATGCTTGAGTCTCGTTATCAAATTTAATTCCCACAGATGATAATCTGGACAGAATTGAATTTAGATTGTTAATGTGAACCGTAACTGAGCCTTCCTCATTCATCCTTGTAGTGAACAGCTCCTTCATCAAGAACACCTTGTTAGCCGCCGATGGTTTCTCATACATATTTGACAGAGCCTCCATCATACCACGCGCCGTGGTTTCATTCATGATGTTGAAAGCAACGCTCTTCGTCAACGACAATGTAATAACCGCCTTGGCTTTCTTGTCCTTTGAGTTCCACGCATCTTCAAAAGCTTTTTCCATTTTCACCGGTTTGTCTCCGAGTACCATGTCCAAGTCTTTCTGACATAGCAATGCTTCTAATTGCATTTTCCACCAGCTAAAATCAGAACCGTTGAACTTTTCGATTACAACCTTGTCTTCAGCCATTACGACAAACAAGATACAAATCAGGTACACTCGTGCGTGATAAAAAAAATGATTGTACCCTCCAAACCTCGCTAATCTGGCTCTGATACCAGTTGTTAGGAACCGGACCGGGTATACGCAGCGGAAACACACTATCACACACACACAAACTCACGAAAATAAAGCAAGAAGAACACAAGGATTTTAAGTGGTTCGGATTCGGTGCAAATCCTACGTCTACGGGCTGCAACTAGAGAATTTTATTAAAACTCACAAGATTACAATTGGCTTGACACTCTACACTTGATGTTCTCTCAAGTTTTTGCACACAGAATATGCAAAACATACATGCATATATATAGGTATATTTGTGAGCCGTAATATGCACAAGATTGCCGCAAAGATTGACTTTGAAAATTTTGCCATTCACATTAGCCGTCCAACAAATATTAAATAATTGTCCACCGACCATTTGAATATTTAATTCAAACGTTTGCCGACAACAATTGAATAATTCAATTGTTAAATGTAATGTTACATTTATGGCCCTTGAACTCTTAGGAACTTGTCAATTTGTTCATGACTCCATAAATCTTAACAATCTCCCACTTGGAGGCTTGAACAACTTTAGCTTTTCTCCGCCATTCAACTCTCAATTACTCCAGTAATCTTAAAAAACAACCAAGTCCTTTTAGGCTTCCAGTTCCAAAGAACAAGCTAAAACTTAGTCTGATTTCTCTAGTTGCAGCCGCCCCTCATCATCAATTACTAGAAAGGGCCAGTTGAAGCTCCCACTAGCTCCAACTCAGCCATGGCTAATCCCGCCACCGACTCATCCTCTGTCTCAACCGGTTTGGACACTCCACCAGATCCAGAGATACACCGAGGACCACTAACACTCTCCAAACTTTGCAAACTTCCAACAAGAGAGAATTTTCCAGTCTTAGTCTTCAAAACCCAACGGCTCTTTGTAACTGTACCCGGAACACACCCCGTGCTCCCACTATCACAGAATCCCCTGAATGGTTTAGAATTTCCGACTCGTTCAGCTAACATCCCCTTGGCTCCAGAATTCATGTTTGCAAAATGAACTCTCTTAGCAGTAGATTTAGCGAACCAGATTTTGTTTTGCTTAATCGGGATGGTCATACTTCCCTCAGCAGGTACCTCAACCATATACAATGACCCACGCTTCATACCTTGAGCAATCACCGAATTACCATTGACCACCATCCATTTACCACCACCAAACCTTACTTCCAGTCCTTGTTTATCCAGCTGACCAACAGAAATCAATTTTTTCTTCAGCTCCGGAATAACCCTGACATTCTTCAGGCTCCATGTAGTTCCTAATGAAGTAAATAGATCAATATCTCCCATGCCCTTTACTTGAAGCATCTCGTCATTTGCTAACCGTACCTTTCCAAAATCTCCTTTTTTTAGATTCACCATCGTTTCCCCGTTGTCCATGGCGTGAAACGAAGCCCCTGAATCCATGACCCAAGAGTCTACAGATTTTTCCATACTGAGTATCAATGCATCATCCTCAGACACACTCTCAGCACCAGCAATGTTTAATTCTTTCTTTGGACATTGACTCTTAACATGTCCCACCTCTTGGCAGTTCCAACACTTCACATTCTTCCTAGTTCTAGATGAACTTCTTCCCCCGACTCCCACTGCTTCCACTATTCCTGCTATTCCCTCTCCCTCTTCCGATATTTAATAACTCAGAAGAAGAAGATCCACCTTGATTCTTGTGTCTGATATCTTCGCCAAGAACCAAATCTCTAACCCCTTCAAAAGTCATACCACTGGTCCCCACGGAACTCGTAACAGCAGTAACTGTTCCGGACCAGCTATCAGGTAGAGAAGCTAGTAGCAATGATGCTTGAGTCTCGTTATCAAATTTAATTCCCACAGATGCTAATCTGGACAGAATTGAATTTAGATTGTTAATGTGAACCGTAACTGAGCCTTCCTCATTCATCCTTGTAGTGAACAGCTCCTTCATCAAGAACACCTTGTTAGCCGCCGATGGTTTCTCATACATATTTGACAGAGCCTCCATCATACCACGCGCTGTGGGTTCATTCATGATGTTGAAAGCAACGCTCTTCGTCAACGACAATGTAATAACCGCCTTGGCTTTCTTGTCCTTTGAGTTCCACGCATCTTCAAAAGCTTTTTCCATTTTCTCCGGTTTGTCTCCGAGTACCATGTCCAAGTCTTTCTGACATAGCAATGCTTCTAATTGCATTTTCCACCAGCTAAAATCAGAACCGTTGAACTTTTCGATTACAACCTTGTCTTCAGCCATTACGACAAACAAGATACAAATCAGGTACACTCGTGCGTGATAAAAAAATGATTGTACCCTCCAAACCTCGCTAATCTAGCTCTGATACCAGTTGTTAGGAACCGGACCGGGTACACGCAGCGGAAACACACTATCACACACACACAAACTCACGAAAATAAAGCAAGAAGAACACAAGGATTTTACGTGGTTCGGATTCGGTGCAAATCCTACGTCCACGGGCTGCAACTAGAGAATTTTATTAAAACTCACAAGATTACAATTGGCTTGACACTCTACACTTGATGTTCTCTCAAGTTTTTGCACACAAAATATGCAAAACATACATGCATATATATAGGTATATTTGTGAGCCGCAATATGCACAAGATTGCCGCAAAGATTGACTTTGAAAATTTTGCCATTCACATTAGCCGTCCAACAAATATTAAATAATTGTCCACCGACCATTTGAATATTTAATTCAAACGTTTGCCGACAACAATTGAATAATTCAATTGTTAAATGTAATGTTACATTTATGGCCCTTGAACTCTTAGGAACTTGTCAATTTGTTCAAGACTCCATAAATCTTAACAATGGTTGTTGATCGAGATGGGTAAAAATGAGGCATTACTGCTCCAAATTTCTAACTTTACGTTTCCTCACGGTAACCGGTAACATTGCCCCATATCATCCATTCATCGTTAATGTAAGACAATCGTTTTCTCCGGACACATAACCACAGGTAGGATCGGTGCTACTGTCCTCTAATATTACTACTAAACTCCATCACGATTTATATATATCAGTGATGACCCCCTCTCCCTGTTAACACAAAAGCAAATCAAAGACAGATACAATTAATCTTTCCCCCTTTTCTACTCACAGAGGTGATATTGGGTGTTATTTTGTGTTAGAATATGGTTAATTTCGTTTTCAGATATTGTCTATCAGGTGCTCGATTTAATGTTCATAAAACCCATTCACAAATTCGACAACATTAATCGCTTTAAGAAATTGCATCACCATGAAGAGCAGATCGATTACCTTGGCCGATTTGCGTAGTTTTTGATAGGATTTGCCTTCTAATTTATATTCATGAACAAACCAGTTCGTTTTTTTCACCTTTTGGAGCTCTCCCCTTGTAGAACACCAAGTTTTTTTTCATTCCGACAAACACTTTTCGTCGGAAAATCTTTTTATCTTTCCCGGTAGCTTTCCAGTACCCACCTTCCGTTGCTTTTCGTCCTCATTCCGATTGTATACTTCTTATCTCTTACACAAAAAAAAATACCACTCTTTCCCCCCATTTTTGCCAACCCTTCAACGTCACAAAAAATCCAAAACAGATTAGAGGAGTTCATCAAACAAAACATCATAAAAACAAGAAGTTGGTTTTGGGGAAGAACAAGAACTCACTTGGCAACTCCCATGGCTCAATTATGTTCATATCCACCTCTCCAATTGCTTTAGCATAGAAATTGGCGTCAACCACTTTGTTCGAAAAATAATGAGTGATTAATTTTTCCTCAGTCAGATGGAATCGAAACCCTGGAGGCAAATCTATCTGATCATCCTCCTTAACAAGCCCAATTAGATTGTTGCCCTCCATCACGTGAAACCTTTCCGTTAAAATTAAAAAAAGCTTACAACTTTTGAGCAAAATCCTACAACTTTCCAACTTTTGAACAAAAACCTCCAACTTTAATCAGTAAACACCTAAAAATAGCAAAAGGGTTCTTTAATTAAGGCTTTGTGAAAGAGAAAAGGAGCTAAATCTAGTAAAGTTTTAAATAAAAGAGAGTATATATAAGACTAGATTGTTGTTGAAATTAGTAATGAAAGTTATGGTAGTGTAAGCTGAAAGATTGGGAGGTTTTAAGAAAAAGAAGAAAATGGTGGAATACAAGCCCTTAAATACTGCTCCATCTTTCTATGTGTATGTATATTTCTTTATATATGTGTGCGTGTGCATGTGTATGAGAGAGAGTGAGACCCTTGCATATTAAATTTCTTTATATATATATATATATATATATATATATATATATATATATATATATATATATGTGTGTGTGTGTGTGTGTGCATGTGCATGTGTATGTGTGTAAGAGAGAGAGACTTCCTCTCTCTCTCTCTCTCTCTCTCTCTCTCGACAAACACACATACACTTTCCAGATCTTCCTTTTAACAACCACCATCCATACACCAAGAATGTTGAAACCAAGCTTCCTTCTTCAACCACTAAATCCACAGCAACAAACACCTTATGTGACCATCTCCACCCCCGGTCTTCATCTCGCCATCACGAACCCATCAACCATCATCAGCCGTCATCAGCCACAATTATCACCATCCTTGAGAACCAGAAGGAGAAAGAGGGAAATCCATACACATTGTAAAATTGGATCTCAAGGAAATCAACCCTTGTCACCACCTAATCCTCCAAAACAGAACCCCACCTTCTTCGTCTTCTCTATCTCTCGTTCATCAAAAAGATGTCGACTTCAAAGTCTCCATTTCTTTCGAGAAGCCCTAATGGTCGTTGGATTTCTTGCCACCCCTCATTGCCAGATGAAGACCCCGATGGAGATGGATGAGCTTAATGGTGGTCCTCCGATGGTATTCTCCCTTTCCCCATGGAAGAAAACATAATGAAGTGGGTTTTAAAGTTATGCATTTGCATATTCACATCTTTTAGTGTTTTGATTTAAGAAGGTTTTCAAGTTCATAGTTTTCGAATTTGGTGTTTTGATTTAAGAATTTCGAGTTCCAGGGGTTTCGATTCTAAGTTTTCTATGTTTCTATGGTTTACGGTTTCCAGAAAATTTGAACATGATTTTTGCAGCTTGAAGATCGTTCTTGAGTTCTTGAAATTCGTGAGTTCCTGAAATCGAGTTTGAGTCTCGATTTGTTTAGAACAGACATGGATTTAAGATTTGTTTAAGTTTTTTTTTTCATCTACATGTTCGAACAAGAACATTGATGTGCACAAATTATACCTATCTAGTTTTGAATTTATAACCTAACGAACTTAACTAGCTTGAATGCACCTAGGCAGTGTACCTAGTCGAATTATAGAATAGTTTAGGTAAGTCGGGTGTCGATCATAGGGAACGGTATTTAATTAGTAAAATAACTACTAAAAGCTAAACTAAGAAAAACAACTAAAATTGGGGTTTTATCTGATTTTACAAGTTCAGAAAAACTTAAATTAAATTAACAAACTAATTACTAAAGTAAATAAGTAGAAAGACGATTTCAAATCAAGAATAATGGATACTTTCGTTTAGGTTCGAATCCCTCCTGTTTCCTATGGTTGATTTCAAGACAACGGATTAATTCCGCTAGTTACCAAATAATAGTTACTAGTCATCATGGTCAGACTAACTAGCATAAGTCAATTTAACAACTTTAACCCCAATGATAATGCAAGTGAAGGACACTAAATTGATTTTAAATGTAATTTGGACTCTGAATGATATAATCTACAGACTACTATTCTTTGGTCAAGTCTAGTAATCGAGAAAATATTATGATCAAATATTGCTCTCTAACACAGTTAAGCAACTAACTTATCACCTATACTAGGATATGGTCAATCTCTAGCTCTAGTAATTTAATAGTCATAAACAACTAGGTAAACCAAGTTCATGTAACTAACTGCAGTTTAACTACACAAAACTTGAGACAAGGCAATAAAGATAGAAACTTTAACAAGCTAGGTTTAGATTTATCAAACAATATTTAAAGCAAAAACCAACTTCATCAATCCATAAAACAAGAAATCAACACATAGTATTCAGGAGTTCATCTAATCTAAACGAAAGTATACTAAATTAGCTACTCATTACTGAAAGTAAACACACAAGTTCATAAGAAATTGACATAATTAAATCAATGCAAACCGAATGTAGTGTTTTAATCTTCAAATTCTCTATCTTTAAACAATCTCTCCTTCCAAAGGGTGTTTTTCGCACTTTTCTGACCTCTAAACTCGATTATAACTCAAGGTAATTAGATCCCACCTCCCCAAAGTCGATATGCTATATTTATATTTACCAGAAATCGCGTCTCACGTCGTGAGAATTAAGGTCTCATGCCGTGATCTCAGTAGAATTCATGTTCGGCAAGGAAATTGCATTCCGCGTAGCAATCTTCTAGAAGAAACAATCTCACGTCGTGAGATTATAATCCTCACGTCGTGAGAACTGGGAATTAGTATTTGACACAAAAACAGAAGTCATCGGAAATTTCTAGTTTTCTGATCATTTTGAATCTCGTCAATCGGAGTTACGAGTCATGAGATATGGTCAAAATACTGAGGATGGGTCAAGTTGTCCAACAACATCCTTTTGTATTCTTTTTCAGCTCCAGTCCTCTAACTTCCAGCTTTTGTTCAGATTTGGCTCTTTTCTTTGAAGATATCCAATTTAGATACAAAATAGAATTTAAACATTATAAGTACCAAATATCTTTATTATTAACTAAAATGTAGCATAAATATATTAAAATAAAGCATAAATATATGAATAAATATGACAATATCAAACATCCATAAAACCAAAAAAACTTTGGTCATCTTCATCATGTTTATGTACGGTATCTACCTTTTCATCACTGTTCTAAAGCTCAAAATTATGCTCTTGAGAAGCTTGAACATCAATGG